TTCGCGCCACAGGGAATGTTCTGCTTCATGTCGGCCTGCAAAGCAGTTCGCGCGCTGAAGGGCGTCTGCGCGACGCCGGGGCGGCACTGCCAGGCAGACTGGCGTTTTCAACAGCAGCGCCGACGCAAGTCTAGCGAGGCGCGCGTTGATTTCTGCGCGGCCAGGGAGAACGCATCCAAAGAACACCGGCGAAGCAGCGCTTCGGAATTGTTGTGCGTGTATCCGCTGGCGCGGCGTTGTGCTTCCTCTGTCATCTCCCCGATTATGAGATTGAACTGCGTGACGAAGTCACGCCCCTCTGTCAGTGCTTCGCTGTGAATGACACCATGCATAGAGGCAAAGCAGGCGGCATCGATGCTTCAGCTCTCGAAGCTGCCATTGATCGCCACGCGGGCGCCCGTGCCAAAACGCGCGGGGCCGACGATCGGAAGCCGATGTTGCATGCGGCGACGCACGTCCCAGAGCAGGTGGATAAATTCGATGCAGCGCTGGATTGCTCCGTCGTTGAGAGGTCGCACCTTCTGCCCACAGCTATCCTGGAAAACCAAGATATAGTGCGAGGCTTCGAGCAAGCTGCAATTTCGCGCGCGCTGCTGGCGCGCATTCAGGGCCTCGAAGCTTTCGACGAGCGCCCTGGGCTCAAGGGTGGCGACGCTGAGATGTCGCCCTGCTCGCTGAAGCGGTCGCGGCGACGTCGCCCTATCATTCAGCGCTGCGTTTAATGGCTTGTTTGGTTGGGCAGGCGACTTGGTGCACGCGCAAGACAAATATTTATGCGTCGCAGCTCTGGGCCAGCGCAGCGACGATGTATTCATGCTGGGGTGCAAATGCGTCGCGATGGAGATTCGGGCGCCGAACGCGTCGGTTCTGCGGAAGGAGAACGGTTTGCTTCTTGCGTGGTGGAGCGGCCATTCGATCAAGATGTGCCACGCTTGGTCGGAGCTCGCCTGCGGTGACATACTCGCCTTGCACTGAGCGGAAAACGACATTTGCAAGAACAGCGACATAATCGCTTATCAAGCAATCGCCGCGAGCAGCGTTCGAATCGCTCACCAGCCCATCGCCACGAGCAGCGATTGACTCGCTCATCCTCCCCGACCCCCTCCTCCTTCTGTCTGCTAGCGGGAACCTCATCGCCAGCAACAAGAATGGGGGGTCGGACCGAAGGGGCACTGGAGGGCGGAACGCGGAAAGCGAGGATGATGGGGGGGCGGGGGGGGGGGGATGGGCGATGGCGCTTTATGCATACAGATAAAATGCGATCGTGGTCAAAGGGGCCCAACGATGATTTGAATCGTCCAAACATGATTTAAATCTCCCAAATCTAAATCTCCTACAAATTACTTGCAACTTCGATGAGTTCTTCTGTCTGCAACTTACATTTTGTAGTTCTGATAGTTCCATGGCCGAAGTAGCTTGAGCAATCGCACCTATAACTGTAAACAAGTCAGCCAAACGCGTTAACATATAGTTGGGCAAGTATATGACAGTTCTACAATTGATCTGAGCTATAGACCAACTTTTATTCCACTATAACCGCAGTTGACCAACCACAAGTCTTCTGACGCGAAATCGCTACGCCAGTGCCATTGTTGGCTGGCTTCCTGGGCTACGACTCCGGCGCGGCGGCGCATGGAAGCGGCGCGGGCCAGCCCCCCGCCCCTGCCGCCCCCCTTCGCAAGCTTGCCCGGCTGGGCCCCCGAGCCCCTGCCGCTCGCCGCCGCGGCGCCGACGCCCTTGGCCTTTGTCTGCTACTTTGTTCGTGGATTCCGCCGGCACCTGTCGCGCGCGCGCGCGAGGGGCGCAGACGAGCCGAACGGCGCGTCACGCAACCAGCCCCAACAACGACATGACGCGCAAGCGCTACTCCGCGCCTGACTGCAATTTTTCGCCCCAACCTCAGGTGGCTTTCATGCGCCGCGCGCGCCCCCCCATGTTATTCGGCGACCTCGCGCCGCAGCCGCTGGGGACAGGACCCCCCGCGCCGCTGCGGCCGTGGCCTCGAGGATCTGGAACTGATAACCCGGGGGCCGCGCAGGCGTGAGCGCACTGGCGAGAATCAAATTCATTCCTCAATCCATGAGGTGAGCCTGCGCGCGCGCGCGAGTAACGGGGGCGCCGCGCCCCCGCCCCCAACGGCGCGCGCGCCGCGAAGTCGGCGCGCCCTAGGTGCGGGTCTCCGCCGACGCAGCTCTCTTCGCGATCAGGAACTCGCGGATTCTCTGACTCAGATCTCCCGATTCCACGTCCAATCCGAGCTCTGGTGCCCGCGACCTGGCGGGCGCGCACGCACCGCGCAGCCCCGTCGGGGGAGCCGATCCACGGGCGGCCGCTGTCCCTGGCCGTCTTTGCCAGGCCCTGGAGCATCGCAACGCCCCCCATCCATGCGAGAGGCTGGGCAGGCGCTGCGCCTCGAAGCGGCGTCGCCTCCTCAGTGGGGATACTTCCCCGATGAAAAACGCCGAGGCCTTTCTCGGCCACGCGCGGCTGCCGCGCAATCGCGCCGCGCGCGGCTCGCGGAGGCGCGCGCAGGGCGCCTGCTAGCAAAATTACAGCTTCTTGTCTTTCTTCTCGCGCTCGAGCGCCGCGGTTCGAAACTTCGCGCAATCGCGCGTTGCCTCGGAGAACTCGCCGCCCGCCGCCGCGGGCCCGGGCCCGGCCACTGGCGTCCGCGGGGCCACGGGGCCCCCAGCTGCGCGCTGATGCGCGCGGATCGCCAGCGACGCCCGCGCGCGAAGCCGCGCGGACCGTCGGCCAATCGCCTGGCTCGCTCGCCCCGTCTAGCGGAGCAGCTCCCGATTTGATATTGTCGAGAACCCACTGGCCCGTGCTCTCGTCGGCAACATCGCTCGGCTCCACGCTCTGGCAAAACTCCGCCATGTGGCGTGCAGTTGCAGCGTGCCACATGAGGGGCCGACCGCCCTCGCGCTCGCGCCAGGGTCGGTCCTGGCGACGAACTCGACCCGCGCCGCTGCGGCTTCGGGGCCGGCGCGGCCGCCGAAGGCTGTCCCCGGCAGGCCCGCCAAGACCGCATCAATCTCATCGCGAGGCCACATCGCGCTCGACTGGGCACAAGTGCGCAGGGAACGACGCTCAAACACTCTCAGCGGCTCTCGAGCCCGCGCGCCACGCGTCACGCCCCCGCGCTCGCGCTACCTCCCGTAGGGGCGGGCGCCCCGCGCCACGATGCAACCCGACCGCTGGCCCCTGCTGGAGCCTGGCCTCGCGCCGCGGGCCCGCTGGCCGCGCGCCTCCCAGGCAGGGCCCAAAGGGGCCGCCACGCGCGCTGCAGGCCCGATGGCCGCGCGCTCCCAAGACGACCCCGTATGGAATCACCTGGCCCCGCGCCCCGCGCCCGAAGGTCGCGCCCGCGCCTGCGCCCGGCCCCTGCTGAGGCCCACTCCCACGCCGCAGGCCTGATGGCCGCGCGCCCCTCAACACAGAGGGCCCCTGCTGGGGCCGCACAGTGCACCGCTCGCCTGATGGCCGCGCGCACCCCTGACGATCCCTGATGGAGTCCACTGGCTCGAAGCCCCGCGCCTGACGGCAACGTGCGTCGCTGCATCGGCCCCTGCTGGAACTCGCCCCCGCGCCGCCAGCCTTGCGGCCCCAGCGCAACTGCGCCGGCAACGAGGCCCCCGATAGGGCAGCATTGCGCACCACAAGCCAGATGGCCGCTCGCACCCCCGCGCGACACCTGAAGGCGGCGCGCGCAAGCCAGCGCGCCGGCACGGCCACGCGCCGACCAGAAAGAAAAAATTGACCACACATCGAGCAGCCGGCAAACGAGACGAGCCCCCCCCCGCGACCCCCACCCGCCCCCCCCCGAACCCACCCACCCCACCCCGCGACCCAACCCACCCCACCGCGAGCCCAAGCCCCCCTGCCCCCCCCCGCTCCCCCCCCCGACCCCCCCCCCCCCCCAGCCGAACCCCCGAGCCCCGCCCGCCAGCTCCCCCCACCCCACCCCACCAACCTCCTGAACGCCGAACCCCGCCAACCCACCAAGCCCCCCCCCCCCCCCGCGCCCGCGCCCGCCCACAAACCCGCCACGCCCGAGCACCCCAACAGCCCCCCCCCCACCCACCCACGGGCCAAGCGCCCCCAAGCCCCCGATCCCCACAGGCGCAACGCCCCCCCCCCCCAAACGCCCCCCCCCCCCCCGACCCACCCACCAACAAAAAAAACATCCCCAAAACGCCCCAGGCGAAGAAACAGAAAGCCCCCACCTCACCCCACCCCGCCACCCGCACGCCAAGACAGGCGGGGAGGCAGAAACCCAAACGCGGAACATGGCCGCGAACGCAGCGGCAACCCCGCTGGGTCGCCGCACTCTCCTGCGCCAGTATAGTAATGAGTTGTTCCTGCGCGCGGCGCCGCTCGAGCGAGGCGCCGCGTCGGCAGGGCGAACTGTGCATGCACCTTCGATTCGTACCTGCGCACAACGCCGCTCGAGCGGCTCGTCGGCAGGGCGACCTGCGCGCAACTCCCCGCAGCGGCCCTCGGCGCCACACACACACACACAGACACACACACACACACAAACACACACACACACACACATACACACTCTCACACACACACACACACACACACACACACACACACACACACACACACACACACGCAAGAGAGCAAGTACGTTCAGCGACACACTGCCTAAAGCGCTAACACCTCGATCTGCTCCCTCCCCTCGGCGCGATGTCTCCCGCGGTGCAAACGTTCCGCGTGCTCGCCTTGCAAAATACGGGAACCCAGCCAGATAAGCCTCCCCCTCCTCTTCCTGATCCCTCCTGCACATCCTTTCTCCTCCTCTTCCTCCCTCCTCCTCCCACCTCTTCTCGATCCTGCTCGTCCTACGTGTCTCTCCCTTCTCTCCCTCCCTATCCCCCATTCTCCTCCCCTCCTCCTCCTCCTGCTCCTCGCCGTCATCAGCCTCATGCTGCTGCTCCCCCTCCCCCCTTGGCGCCTTCCCCCGAGCAGGGGAGAGCTGCGACGGCCTTGCAGTCGAACCTCAGCGATGTAATGGTGGTAGCAGTGGTGGTCGACGCAGGCACTGCTGTCGTTGTGGCAGTCTTGCTGCCTCTGCCAGCCAGGAGGCCCACACTCCACAACACGTCGGGGAATTATGGGGTCCAAGGGAGCGCAACACCCCTCGCGGCAATCGCCGCCTCAATTGTGGCCAAACTCATAGGCAACCGTGGGACCCCCCTGTCAAACCGCTTTCTGACCTCAACAACCACTGATGATGTCGCCCTGTGGTGGTGGTCATTATCGTCGACCTCCTTAAGATCATTGTCTAACCGCCGCTTCCTCATCCTCCTCCTCCCTGCCCTCGTCCTCCTGCTCGTGCTGCTCATTCTCACCCGCCTCACTGTCTTCCCATATTTCCCCGCATCAGCGCAAAATTCTGCCGTGCCCAACATGTTTCCCCCAAACACCTTCTCCGAAACAGGTTTGGCAGATGGCCGCACGCCTGGTAGCTCTTCATCGGATGCGACACTGCTGCCAGACATCCTGCCGGTGCGTGCGTGATGCAATGGAACATTACAATACCTTCGACATGCGTCTTCCGTAGATAAATCGTACAACTGAAGAGTCCAAGTTTAACACACCCGCCCAATAGCGAACGAAACGCAATATTGAATGACCCTTTCAAATGAACAGACACTTATCCAGAGACTTACCCACCCCATCTGCAACACGTGGTAACATCGACGGGCCCAACCAAGAGCGCATGATTACAAGAAAGTGTATGACATCTCCTGCGCAAGCGATCTTGGAGACCGCGGCGTTACCCGCCACATGGGACCAATGCTAATCAATTCCCAGAAAAGAAACTAAGGTGAAGTGAGACGGAAATAAGGACGTCGATGCTGATACATGGTGGGACAAATGGGGACCTGAGACCGCCACTCCACAGCAGGGAGGCCGAGCTCCTTCCTGTTTGGATCTGCATAGCATTGCACTGTGAAGCCCCCGCCCCCGGGCGCAGCAAAGCGGCAACGGTTGCGCCCTTGGCACCACCCAGGACGGCCAGGTTTAGGTCGGATCTGCGTATGTCATTCCTCTGCTGCAACTGACAGAACAGGGCGCCACAACTGAGTGGCAGCTGTGGCACGCTTGGCAACACCCACGGAAAGCGAGGTCTAAGCTTGGATCTGTGTAAAGCGCCGACAGCTGGGTCCTCCTGGGGGAGCAGCGAAGTAGTAGCATCTGCGCACCTGGCAGCACCCACGAATGGCGATATCCCGTCCGGCTCTGCGTTTGCCACCATTCCCCTGGACCTCCCAGAGGCGCAGCGAACAAGCAGATGTTGCGCGCCTGGCTACAAGCAGGAAAATTCAAATCGGATCTGGTTGGGATACCACTCCGCTAATCCCACAGAAGCACCCGGGGAGGATGAGGTCCCAGTGGGACAGCGTGTGGAACCACTTCGCTGGCCCGCCGAGCGCCTTGGCGCCCAATGGTAGTAGGTGAGGTCCAGTCAGGTCTGTGGGGCATCACTTCGCTGGGCCCTCCCATGGGAGCAGCGAAGAAGCGACAGATGCGCCAAACATCACCGAGGATGACATTCCGTTCGGCCTCTGTGCTACCACACCGCTTGACCCCCCGGGGCGCAGCAAAGCAACAAAGCGGCGACAGTCGCACGCCTGGCAACGCACCGAAAAAACAGGTCCGTGTGGGCCTGCGTGGGGAGCCACTGTGTTGGACCTCCTCAGGCGCAATAGCATCTAGAACATTTGCGCGCCTGTCAAAATCCAATATGGGCGAGGACCCAGTCGGATCCGCCTGTGCCACCCCCCGATGGACCCCACAATGGCGCAACGACGTACCGGTTTGACCGCGCGCCTGGCAGCACCCAAGGATGCCGAGGGTCTCGTTTGGGTCCGCTTGTGCCACCACTACGTCAATGATCCCCCGAGAATGCAGCAGACTGGCGGTTGTTATGCGCCTGGCAACATCCACAGAGTGATAGATCCTGTTTGGGCCTGCGTAACATCTCGTTTGACATCCACGCCAACGTCTCCAGAGCCCAGGAACCTGGGAGACAGCTCCTGCAACGGAGGGAAGTGCAGGAGCCAAGGAACAAACGGCGCTAATCAGAAGACCCCCGTCCATCTCGAGATGCGGAGGCACCAGCGGACCCTCATCCGCTCCGTGCCGCAATGCCGTAGAGTGCGATCGCAGCTCCACGTGGAGGACAGGGGGGTCAGCAGACGCCGAAGGGTCCAAGACCCTCGCTGGCGCCGACTGTGCATCAGGCAAAATGCCTGGAGAACGGCGCGCCGTCAAGAGAACACCCGCAGGGCACGGCGTCTTTCCCTGCTCACCAACAGGAAAAGAGGACGGGCGGGGAGGCACGAGGGGAGCACGATCCTTCTCCTCCTGCTCCTGTTCCTGCTCGTGTTCCTGCTTTTCCTCCTCCTCCTCCTCCTCCTCCTCCTCCTCCTCCAAAGTACGGGGCACAGGCGGGGCTGCGTGGCCCGCGGCACCAGCGGGCGGCCAAACCACGCCCATCCCTTCACCAGTGTCGGAAGCTTCCGTGGCGCCAGCCACTCCTTCGCTAACGTCCTGCCGACCAGAGATACAACGACCACCAGACGACGGGTTCTCGACGAACGACGACTTTTCGATACTGTCGGCCACCAGTGTTGTGCTGCACTGACCTCCACTGAAACGGAGGCGGCCTCGCAACAGCAAGCAGAGCAACAGAGGTTATAAAGAGACTGGCCCAGGGCTGGCGTCGGCACCGCGCCCGCGCGAGCCTCGAGCTTTCCCCACCGACGGGTGTGGCACCTGTCCATGAGGAAGAGAAGCGTGCTGCTAGAGAAGGTGGGTCCACTTAGTGGACCCACCTTCTCTAGCAGCACGCTTCTCATGCGATAAGAGCACGACTCCCGAATCAGAACCCGCCGAACCCAGAGACGCGTGAGGTAAAGGGGCGGGGCTCCCCACCACGCCCCCGCCACGTCTGACCTTGGCCACCTCGACCTCCTGGGCGCCCCAGCCACCTCGACCTCCTGGGCGCGGCGTTTTGGGGCACCCCCAACCTGCAAAAACTCGCGCTGGCATCCCACGCCGCGTCTGACATCCCCAGCCCCTGGGCGTTGTGTTCTGGGGCCTCCCCACCCTGCAAAAACTGGCGCCCGCGCCCCCTCAACCGCGTATGCTCGCGTTGGCGCCTGCACCCCCACCGCGCCTGACTCCGCCAGCCCCCTGGCGTCCTCGGCCCAGGTTCTCACGGGCCGCCCACTCTGCAAAAACTTCGCCAGCGCACCCCACCGCGCCATGCACCGCGCCCCCGCCGCGCCTGACACCGTCAGCACCCTGGCGCCCTGGACCTAGGTTCTCAGGGGTCACCCGCCCTGCAAAACCTCGCCGGCACCCCACCGCGCCTCCCACCGCGCCCCCGCCACACCTGACACCGCCAGCCCCCTGGCGTCCTGGGCCCAGGTTCTCAAGGGCCACCAGCCCTGCAAAAACATCGCCGACGCTCCCCGCCACGCCACGCCGCGCCCCCGCCGCGCCTGACACTGCCAGTCCCCTGGAGTTCTGGGCTTAGGCTCGCAGGGGCCACCTGCCCTGCAAAAACCTCACCGGCGCTCCCTGCCGGGCCCCCCGCCGCGCCCCCGCCGCGCCTGACGCCGCCAGCCCCCTGGCGTCCTGGGCCTAAGTTCCCAGGGACCACCCGCCATGCAAAAACCTCGCCGGCGCCCCCCGCCGCGCCCCCCACCGCGCCCCCGCCGCGCCTGGCGCCGCCAGCGCCCTGGCGTCCTGGGCCTCGGTTCTCAGGAACCACCAGCCCTGCAGAAGCCTCGCTGGCACCCCTGCCGCGCCCCGCCGCGCCTGACGCCGCCAGCCCCCATGGCGCCCTGGGCCTGGGTTCTCAAGGGTCACCCACCGTGCAAAAACATCGCCAGCGCCCCCCGCCACGACCCCCGCCGCGCCACCCTCCCGCCGCGCCCCCGCCGCGACTGACAGCGCCAGCCCCCTGGCGTCCTGGGCTTAGGTTCTCCGAAGCCACCCACCCTGCAAAAACTCCGACGCCGCCGGCCCCCTTGGGCCCAGGTTCTCACGGGCCGCCCACTCTGCGAAAGCGTCGCCAGCGCCACGGCGCCCACAGCCACGCCCCCGCCGCGCTTGACACCGCCAGCCCCCTGGCGTCCTGGGCCAAAGGAAGCCGCCAGCAGGATCCAACGTTGTCCCGCGGACGTCATTGGGAAGATGTACAGCACTGGAACCATAATGATGCATCATGTTCTCTACTAGCAGTTACATGATGCAGTTCAGCAATGATCTACGCGCAGAGATAGCATGATCTATAGTTATGTTATATTGGTTGTTTGCGGTTCAACCAACAGAAAAAGGAGGAGGATGATGATGATGAGGAGGAGGAACAAGAGGTGGAGGAGGAGGAGGAGGAGGAGGAGAAGGAGGGGTAGGAGGAGGAGGAGGAGGAGGAGGAGGAGGAGGAGGAGGAGGAGGAGAAGGAGGGAAAGGAGAGGAGGAGAAGGAGGAGGAGAAGGAAAAAGAGGTGAAGAAGGAACAGGAGGACGAGGGAGGAGGCTTCTCGAACATCCTCTCTGCTTGCACTCGTCGCTTCTATCTGCCTCCTCATCCCTTTCCTCCCCCCGTTCCCTCCTCATAGGCCTTCCCATGCACTCACTTGCCTTTGCTCCTGCTGGCCCCTCCCCACATGCCTCCCTCCTTCCTCCGCTCACCCCCTCGCTCCGTCATCCCTGTCCCCACCATTCCCACCCACCCCCCTTCCCATCTCCCTCACCCTTTCCGCCCCCTATGTTCCCATTCATCCGCCGCGTCGGTCGACCCCCCCGCGGCCATCTAGGATGAGCAGAGGGGAGGGGGATGATGAGCAGGACGTTCCTTAGTCCGCCTCTCGGCCCTCCGTCGCCGTCCCCAATTCCATTCCCCCCCGTCATTCCCCCTCCCCCCGTCCGTCTCATCCCCCTGTCCGTCTCACCCCTCCCTTCCGTTTCATCCCCCCCTCGTTCCCTCCTCCCTCATCCCCCCTTCGTCTCATCCCTCCGTTTCCCGCTTCCCTTCCCTCCGCTCCTTCCTCCGCCGCTGCCCCGGCCCCGCCCCCCCCCCCCCCCCCCCCCCCCCCGAACGGGCTCTGGCGGCTCGGGGCGGCAACGCAGATCGGGAAGAGGCCTCGAGAGCGAACCCCGAGCCCGTTGCCCCCCCCCCGGCACGGGAGGGGGCGCCAGGGACGGATGGGGAGAGCGGCGCGTGATTGTGAGGGTGACGGCACAGAGACAACACCACCACATCAAGTCGCGTCTGCGTCACGTTCCCGTTGTGGCGTGATATCACGCCACAACGGGAACGTGACGCAGACGCGAATGACAGGGGCGCAGTGTCAGTATGGTGGTACGTGGAATGTTGGTGCACAGGTCGACGTTCGATATGCTGTGTATGCGTGTGCGTGGCCTTGAGGTTGGCTCAAGTTGGCTCAAGCCGCTCTGGCTCAAGTTGGCTCAAGCCGCTCTGGC